TATCTGTGTGAATTAATAACTTCAGCCAATCCGTTGAAGCAAAATGCCCTGAACAAACGATGAAAAATCTTTAAATGAGTAAAGTCAAACCTGTCAGCATGTGATGACAAACGTTATCTCCATGTAGGTGTATTACGTAAAAGGAAGTAATTTAATTAGTCAAAAGAAACTCCCTCAATTCTTCGACAAGTCATAAATCGGCTCAATCAATTATCTATTTCTGAACCACTTTATCCAGGTAGAGTGGCACACAGTTATTGGTAATTGTAACGCTGCTCCATAAAGAAACAGCAATAAGGAAATGCTTAAATGTGGGAAATAGCTAAATGGCTTAACCACTCAAGTTTCAGTTGGTATGTCTTGAGTTTGAGCCCCATGGCACCCACCTCAACCTTTTGTTTTAACTTCATGGCATCATCAGACTTCCCCTGATATGTGTGGCTTTTAGTCAGTCCCCAAGAAGCTCAATTTGGCGTCATATTCTTACACATAATTCTTGCATCGGCTAAATAGCAGATTCGCTAGAGGTTACGATTTCCTGAAATAAAATGGCATGATTTTTTGTGCTACTGATAAAAAGTTAGTAGTGGATACATTCTGGTGTCCAAGTTTTGGTTGTGTAAATACCATCGCGAGGATATCTTTCTAGTAATTGTGTTCTCCGACATGTATTATGTCTTCAGTAGTAGAGAGTAGACACCACCTTCAGACAACTTTGGGACAATCGATTATGACCTTGTAGGTGAAAGGTGGCATTTAGTTTATAAAAAAGGTGTATTTCTAAAATATGTGTATTAAAAATGAATTATACAGCGAACATATCTCTAATATGCCGCAAACGTCAGTCCCAGTTTCTCATAGGAGTGGTTATAGATATATCAAGCCAACGTCGATACAAAACTCATCTAAGTGGCTATTTACTACATCATTTCGGGAACCATTAAATATTCTAATACGTGTTTTCAGATGTTCCTAGAATCCTTCAATAGAATTTGTATGGGTTCCACTCATAGGATACACAAATCCACAAGAACAGTTGAGCTTGTGATGAATGTAGTCTAGTGATTATAATTGGGAATAACCTCTTCACTCATCTGTGTGAATGATAGTGCCTGGGAGAACTAGTTTTTTAGGCTGACGGTATCGACATTCGCGGATTGTACGGAGTATACTAATGCAAGATTTAATACCAACAACTGCTATAGTATCCGTTCCTCGTGGACCAAAGGCAAAGCAAAAGACACTATTTGATCTTTCAAACTACGAGACCAAATCGTAGACCGAGATGAATGCTTAGCTGGCTAGTGATCGTGCACGAACGTGACACGACGGAGTAACAAATGGCCTGGATGCTTGACCGGAAGCCTTCAGCTAAACAAGTTGACTTAAACAGTGAGGTTCACCATCCAATCTCCAGTGATAATTGCTGTGGTCAATAATTTTGGGGAATTATTTACCGCTAAGTATTATAATATAATATTATTTATTGTTCTCTTGGGTTCCTAGAGGAACAAAGTGCTTCAGCTGCACGTCTCAACTTGCTTCTGTCTTCTGCTGTACTTTTCACTTGCATCCATGTTAATCCATACTGTTTCAACTCCTCTTCACACGATCTCCTCCATGTCACCCTTGCACCGACGAACCACTCGCCGCTTCCCTTTCGGGTTCCACTCGAGCAACGGCCTGACGCGCGATGTCACCCAGTGGCCTCCTCAGCGAGTGTCCAAACCATCTCCACTTTCTCCTGAATATTTGTTGAGGAATTGGTTCTTGTTTTGTTTGTTCCCATAGTTTCTTGTTGGTGATTCTTTCCGGCCATCTGATCTTCAATATACAACGAAGACAGCTGTTGATAAAGGTCTGCAACAGGCTGTTGGAAATATTCTTGGTGACCCGCCAAGTTTCTGATCCGAATAGAAGAAGAGACTTGACGTTTGTATTGAAAATCCGAATCATTTTGTTGTTGATGCTGAGTGACGAAGATTTCCAGATTGGTTTCAGGTTGATGAATGTGTTTCTCGCCTTACCGCTAAGTATTCATTGTATAATTGGTATTAAAACTTCAGCACTTGTGTTCAGGAAGCATTCTACAAACCCTTTACAGAGATTTGAATCATACAGTTCCAGCACCCAAACATGATTTGATCTGGTCTTACCACGACTCATTTCTTGTCCAATAAGTGCTGTTTCGCCAATATGAACGACGAGATCAACCCTTCCAAGTACAGAAGTAATTCCAATGACCTTTTGTGACGCAATATCAGGACAGCGCTGATACTGTGGTGAGACCTGGCTGCTAGTGAAATTGAGGAGACAGTAATATACGTCTATGTTTACGTCCCCAATATTAGGCTGAAATTATCCCGCATGCTCAATGTCATTGATGGAGTGAAACGCTCAAAGGTCATTTTCGTCCATGTTAGTCGGTAATGTTGGATTGCAGTTCCGTAGCCGTTCGTTTACACATTGGTTTCACGTTCTGTTGGCATTTTTAGGTGATTCCTATGTACTGATAGAATTCTTTTGTAAAATAGTACTGTTCTTCACACGAAAATAGCCACATTTTGACGTAGTCTTCATTGAATGACACTATGTCGAAAGCTGCAGCTTCTACAAGAAATAAACTATTTGTGTAGATGACATTGCCCCCCAACTACCCCATCTTCTTCATTGTAGAGATGTTTTGACGCATTCAGCATGAAACACTAATCATAACAACCAATATGCTAAGTGTGTCGCAGTCAGATTAAATGACGCGGACACCAACATAACTAGCCAGGAAATGAGAATTCCTATCAATCCAGAAAACATATAACAAAATTTTATTAAAAATTATTTACAAAAAAAATTTGCCGAGCGAAATTTCAACCAACATGCCGGATAAGTCCAGCCCAATATTAGTAGTGAGAAAAATAAGAGCAAAGACCGACTCAACAACCAATCACAGTAGACTTTGTGTAGGCGGATACAATTCGCAGATAGATTATCTGAACTTCAAGTAACGGCCACAAAGAGATGAAAGATTAGCGTTCAGAAAGAGAGAAACCACCAATCAGAAGATTGTGTTTGTTTGCTTAAAATAATCTATAATAATGCACATGAAAATCTATAAGTATCCGTTGATTCCCTAAATAAACGATCTGTTGCCTGGCCCTTGTCTTCTGTTGTTACAATACGACTGCGCTTTTGACACTTTAGTATTCTCTCTTTCTGTAGCCACAGCAGATACTGGTCGCCTCACCAGCCAGTTCTGACATGTACGCAATATTTTATTAAGGAAGTTTCGACTTCGAGAAGAAAGTATCTAAAAAGTCACCGTGATGTATGACTTACCAACTCTTACACACTTCCTCGTATAACAGTGGTTGCATTTGAATGCATTACCATCAGTATTCGGGCAGTACATTCTCAGAGTCATTATCCCTCCACATATGCATGATTTAATCCTCCTTATCAGCCCACGTTCTACACAGAAGTCAAAAACCAAATCTGAGTGAAACTTGAAACGAAGATCAGGAAAAGCTTCCATTTGTAATACTGAGTGTTTTGATTGGTTGGTTCAAGGTGATTTGGCTTTGGTGTCTATTGTTTTCTGTTGCCAGATTACTGTTCCTGGAGATATAGGATGCTGGCTAATACTCAAAATAAAACTGTATGATAATGTACGTATTCATCATCAAACTTCCTGTATACTTGTTCCACATGAGTAGAGAACAGTTGAATGGCGGAATCAGAAGAATAACTTGATCGTCCAAGATGTGAAATATATTTCAGGATTGTACACTTCGAGCGATGATGTCTGCTTAGCTAACTACAGAATGTAAATGAACAGCCGGACATAATACGGTAGCATGTCTAAAACGGCAGGGATGCTTGACTACACACCGTCAGCTTGGTCAGTCCACCTAAACAGTGAAGATCGGCACCAGTGGTGAACAATGAGAGCTGTAGGCTGATAACTCTGGGGACGTGCCTACTGCTACAGGCTTTTATCTATTCCCCAGTTATAGTCACACGCCAGAATTCAGTTGAACTGTATTGTTCAAAATAACAATCCATTTATTAGCATTTATAGAAAACTATCGTCTCTATGTGATGTAACTCTGCTCTACATTGTAATACATGATAACCTGACATTAAACAATGTGTAAGTCAGTGGGCGACAGAAATGTGGATATAAGTGTCATAACTGTTGGCACCAATCACCCAAGTTTATCTGCATTCTATTCAAACCTAAACAGTGTGATGATAAAGGGTGTAGTGGTAGGTGATTCTCCAGAATTATTGGCCACAGCATTCGTCACTGAACATTAGATGCTGAACCTCACTGACTTAGTCGATTTGTTTGGCTGAAGGATTACTGTCAGGCATCCGTACCATTCGACACACCGTTGTGTTACGTTGTTTCGTTCGTGGACGATCCCTAGCTAGTTGAGTAATCATCTCGCACTCCAATTTGGTCCCGAAATATACTACGTAATTTGGACGATCAATCCAGGTTTTATACTTAGATCAATCCAGGTGTTTTGCTTTCTGCCGTTGGTTTACGCGAGACAAATACTACAGAAGTTGTGGGTATTGGTTGGATCTTGCGTGAGTCTACTTTGTACTATCCGTGAATGTCAACACTCTCAGTCTCTACAACGGCTTTACTTCACTACTAAATAACACAAATTCAGCTCATAGAGGGAGGATAACTTCTGCTTTAACCAGAGATCTGCTGAATGGACGAGTTTGGATCACCCAGGACAATAGTCAAGTGGTCCACAGAACTGACCATTTACAATTTTAATCCTCGTCGTCATCATTACACACAATTGTGGAGGTGTACAAAATTCCTTTCCAATTTTAGAAGTGTTTATCTTCGAGCAATATTCATTTATTTACACGCAACAACAAACTGATCCCACGTTTTGTTTTCACAATGATAAATAAAATAAATAGAAATATTAGATTTCATGTATTTTGTTTAAACAAATAAATCAATGTTAAGTATAAAAGCCGTGTTTATGCCATGCGTGAACATGAAAAAAACAAACAGTGATCAATAGTGCAGAGGCTTCTCCAAATGGCTAACAAATTGATTCTTTTCTCCGCTATCTTCCTTCTTGCTGTAGTGTTCACCTTTCACACAACTGAAGGTGAGTCAGTCAGACAATCTTTTACTGTTATTTATCATTGGTGTAAACTAGTTATTATTAGCATTAAAGATGGAACCTCTGTTGCTTGAGATCTATTACAGATTAAAATGACTTGCCAACCTTTTCATAATTATAAACGATTTTGTATTTCTTAGTGAATCAATGAAAAACAAAATGATATTGCTTTCTCTTTACTGACGTTTCGCTATTTAACGCTACTTCTTTATCAAAGCAGTAATGTTAAACCAGAATTAACAAAATTCACTCAGCTTATGTATATAACAACTTAATCATCGTTCATCAGTATGGGGTAATTTTTACGTTATTAAATTGACCGGTTGGTAAAGGTAACAAAACCAGGTGTAGATTGTTTGATTTGATAAGTGTGTGTGTAAAATTATAAAAGCAGCATTTGTTTGCATAGTGAAATTACCTACCGCACAGTCGTGTTGATTGTGTCATTTCTTGTGACAGGGAAGAGGGTGTTGTAACCAGGTCAAATTCTGCTTTAGTCCATCGTTCATTCCTATTGGGGCAATTTGGATTCCATTTGATATGAAGTGCTTCTGATGATGTGAGATGTTCTTTGTGATTTATGAAATGCTTTTCTGGATTATTTCAATATTGTCAAAATCAGTTTTGTGGTCTGATTCTATAGCGAGTAGACCACTTGTGGCTGATGATTTTTCAAGCTTTTCTAGCTCAGCTGGATTTCTCGGTGGTTGAACTGATGTTCTGATCTACGATGTTCATTTCTTCTAATTTTGATTTTTCGAAATGTTTGTCCGATGTATATCTCATCATATTCCGAGCAGGCACTTTATTTTATAGATACAATTAGATAGAGAATCCTTAGGGATTTGGTCTTTTATATGGGCAAAGTTGCTTCGCTCTGTGTCTGATATTTTGAAGAAAACTCTGATGTCGAGCTTATTGAGTACTCTTCTGATATCGTCTGACGTCTCTGATCTGTATGGAATGACGACTGTTGACGTCCATGTTTTCGGGATATTTTTTCGACCATATTTAATGTCAGTGTTGATTTTGTTGATGAAGTTCCTTGGGTAGTTGTTTTGCTTGATTGTCTCAGTAATGTTGGATATTTCTTCTTCTTTTTCCTTCTTATCTATTTACATCAAAGAGTGCGCCCGTCTAAGACGACTTAAAACAGCGTGAAGGTATCAGTTGTGAATAAATAGCTTGGGAGTCATGCTGCACAATTCATCCCGAAGAAGTTATGTGATGGCTTTGACCAATCACTACCACTCTTGTATTCAACTGGATTAATTCTGGATGTGATACACGCTATTTAAATCTTATTCTAAATCAGATTAACCTTGAAGCAAAAGAAATACCTTAATTGGTTTTGTTATCATTGTATTTTGGGGAATTCTGATTATGGGTATTCGTAATTGTTGTTCCACTTAAAATATTAAACACATGAGTTGTCGAAATTGTTTTATGTACCCCTCCCCTCAACTGGTTCATAATGCATCACAATTGTTGATCTCTGTTGTTATGCTGGCTTTGAGTACGGACTCTTCGAAGATGTCTAAAGGGTAAAGTGAGCACCCCGGGTTCAATAAATATCAACCAACGGGTAATAGAAGAGAACTTTCATGGATGACAACTGATACCTATTGGACAAGAAGTGGCTTTCGTGGTCTGGTGGATCACGCCGCTAGAGATTGAAAGTGATGACAGCTGGGTTGAAGTATAAGTGGGAACACGGATACTCCCTAAGGATCATATACGTCCAGCTGAAGACTCCCAGATAGGATGGAAAGCGTCGTATACCATCAAAGAAATAAATATATCAAACACTTCGTCAAGTTCTATGGCTATTAATATTAGACAGGATTACATACCTCACACTTGTTGACTATAGTATTAATATAACATTTTGTGAATTCACATCATGAATGATACATCAAAGAGATTACCCGTTAGCAGATTGACAATGTAATTTTCATTACAAACTGGTATGACTTTAAGAAAATATTTTATTTATTTCACACATCCCAGATAGCTCAACTCCGCACCCCCTCTTAAGGTATATTACATCATGCAATTACAAAAGTGTACTTCATGTTAACCACCTTGACTGACCAGGGTATGATCAAGTTAACGGTCAGAAATTCGAGTGAGCAAGACTGATCTTGAGGCATCCAGTTATACTTTGTGTAGATAATAGTAGAGTTATTATTATTATTATGAATGAACATTGTTGAAGTCTTATGGGAAAGATATCAACCAATAATTCTTAGTCCTGATCTGATCGTAACCATGATCTCTAGCCTGTGATTATAAACGTTAGTCGTTTCAATGAAAATCACCGTTCCTACTGGAAACTGAAAGTTATTCTTGAGAAAACATATAGAAAAGTCTCAAAATTCATTTTCGAGAATTTAATCTTGCTTTGTCACCAAAATTAGCCTAGTTGAAGACTGTTCGTGAGCATGTTCTCTTAGATTGGTGTTCTTTCTTGAACTTCATTCATTCATTCAGGGTATGTCGAAAGCAACATTGTTATGTTCAAAGCTTCCACCCTTGCATAATGAAGAACAAATTACCTTGTTTCAATTATTTCTAGGGATTTTATGGCGTCAGTGGCACAGCGGTAGAATGCTGGCCAACCACGTCACACGTGGTTCGGGGTTCGATCCTCGGCCACCGACGCACACCTTTACTCCGCTAAGCCACTAATATGACTGGTAAAGAGGGAAGGTTGAACATGAGTCTGGCCAGCAACACCATCCCGTAAAAATAAACACCACTGCTACGGAAACTTCAAGCTGGAGGCTTGAAGCCCAATATTCCGCTGAGAACGTGATAGGATAAAATAAGATGTGGCATCCTCTATACTTATCACTTTCAATGAAGAAGTCTTGCTATCGGTGGTAGTCAATGTTGTTTGATAGGCATGCCATATCTAGGTAGCAGGCTTCAGAGTTAATCACTTAAAATTGTGTCTTGATTGTTCCATGTTAGCTTTTATGGCTTATTGCATCAGAAATCCTTAGTCTTTACCCATATCCTAGTGGCACTGACTCAGATTGGTGTGCTTTGAATGGGGGGTGTGGGGTACGTCATGTCATCGCCAAAAGTATCGGATAGCCAGCTGTTTTCCTCGCTCCATTCCGTTTGTTTAGTGATTGCGTCCATAACATGCAATCAACTGTTCCTTGTCCATCGGAGTTTGTGTTGTCATTTCATCCTATAAAAGGTGTCCTCGAGACAGGAGTACTAACAAACTGACTGTTGATTTCAACTTCTGAGATAATCATTATCTTAGAACACTGCCCACCTTTGAAATAACAACGAATATTTACAGCTTAACGTGGAGATGTAAGTTGTCTGCAGCTGCTCACTGACGCTTTGACTTTTGATCACGTCGTATATTTCACCACAAGGCTAAGGGACATCTTCAGCAGTACTGATCAAGAAATTAAATCAGACGAAATATTCGAAGTCAACAGAAATCAGTATAGTGGTGATATATGCAATTATGGAAGGATTTTTCAGTTTTGCTCATGAATTAACTTCATTTAGATAGAATCACTAAAAACCAGGGAGTACTTGGGAGCTGTCTCGTCCTTGAGTGGAGCTCTTCAGCAATTCGCACACCACCAGAAATCTAGCGTTTAAGACTTCAACCAGGTGCATTCAATTAATGGCTGATCGGTTCTAATTTCTGCCAGCAAATTTTCACCGAAACGGCTGAGTGCTTCCACCTGTGTAAGTGGTAGCAATTCTGTGTGTGGTTTGTTGGACTTAAAAGTTGTTCTTAAATTGACAGAAAGACCCTCAGCCACAGAGTTAAAAATATATGCTCAGAAGAAGTAATTGAAGATGAATTAAGCATTGTATATGATACTTTGTTTGAAAGCATCTATCCCGACAAATTTATCAAGAAACACATGACAAAGAAAGCGGCGGAAAAGGACTACTCACTATCGGTAAACAAGAAGCCTCTTTATATACGACTGCAATTCAAAGGCGGTATACCAAGCGAAATAATTACGAAGAAGTTAAGAAATTCATTTCAAACAACTCTTAATGCTGATGAACTACACGTCTTATCCTCTACACGACCGATGGTTATTCCTCAAGTGAAAGATGAAGTACCTAGACTAGCCACTTCAAACTGTATCTACGAATTCAATTGCGCTTGTGGTGGAGTGAGTAATATCGGCCGTTGCTCTAGGAACTTGATTTTTCGTGCTTGCTCGAGGAAATCTCCCAATACGACTAAGTAAAGGTGTGGTGAAAATCATCAACGGTTCGATATCGTACCATCTCGTCCAAACCGGCCACAAAGCCAGCCAGGGTTGAAGAATCCTTCTCTATCATCTATCGTGTGCCTAATGAATTACAGAAAACATCGAAGCACCGCATGCTCCAAACAGCAGAGGCTATTGCGATTCTCGTGAAACAACCGGTGCTTTGTGTGCGAAAGAAGTAAGTCCAGTCAGCCAGTACTACTGCCCTAGCCAGCCGTCAGTATAGATTATAAGTTCATGAATTTGTAATATTATCTTTCCTAATTTTTCTGACATTCAGTTTATTGTTATGTTGATGCTATGGAACGGTAATCTATTGATATTATTATTGATTCGATTTTGTTTAAACATTAACTTTGTTGAAAACGCTAATTCATTCATCCACTATAATGTATATGTAACTGTAGAACCTGATGATTATGAAGTTATCGAAAAAAGTATTCTTTGTTCAGTATCCATTCTTTTGAAAAAACAATCTACTCAAATATATGTTTCTTTCTCTGTAGGTATACATCCAGACATTCCGTAAGTTATCAGTCATTACGTTTTGAGAAAGTCAATTTATTCTAATATTGACAAGCAATCACCAAAAATAAATTAGCTGTTATTCTTCTAAAATCACTAGTGCAGCTGTATTCTCTAAGTTGAATATTTCAGTTGCAAAGCTGTCATTATCCTTGTCAATATAACATCTTCACTGCCAGTCTGATTGTGAAGCGTTCAGTCGTATCTCTCTGTATATATAAATAACCAGTAGGTAGCTAAGACGCGTATCATGAATGACAAGTTATCGGCTTCCTTTTCAAGCAATGGTCGTCGATACAGGATTAAGTTGGGAAGGAATTATGGATGGTCAAATAAAAAAATAAACTGACACCAATCCTTGAAGCGTTCGGCCAATGTTTTGAGCCACATAGAGGGAATGTAAAGTTCCAAGCTTAGTTCGTCGAGACGCTGTGAACCAGTGTCAAAGGACTGATGGTGATATGGTTCAAATCGTTGTTAGTGGTGTAGATGCACCTGTTGTTTCCAATCTCACATCTCCCCTTGTAATTATTCCTTCTTTTTGATGATATTAGATGGTTGGAGGCAATCGACAGGAAGCCTAATCTGACCTAGGTTTCGTGCTAGTTGGCACTCACCAGTTGACAAAGCGTATCTGCAACCTTGAAGGAACTCATGTCCCTTCTGAGACCTTACCACTGAGGAGGTATTCGGGCTCGCGATTGACCTCCTGTAGGACTGCAATGGATACTTTTATTGGACACTAGTAACTTCCTTCTTTTATACACTTACGTTTATAATAGTTCATCTACATTTTGATTTCTGCTGTGTGTGTGTGTGTTTTATGAAGTGCGCCAACTTGAACTGCTGTGGTTGTGTTTAGAGTTGAACTTTTAAAGTTTAGTTTACAAGGGTTTTTTAGGTCGGAATAATCAAAATAATACTACAAATGATATAAATGAATGTTTTGCAGCTGGTTTTGTTTAAAATTCAAATTTCCCTCCTCTTGACCCTTGAATACTAGATATTAATATAAAACATCCAGTTTATGATGAACGGTGTAACTATTTAGTATAGAAATGGTTGATTAGTAATACCTTCAGTCTGATAAATGTTTATCATATTTAAGATATTCTTTCATGGATTTAAACAGTTACAATTCCTTGTGGTTTAGATCCAGCTAGACTGTTGTTGCCTTCTAGTCTGAAGATGCTTCTCCGTAAGCGTAAAGTTTCGCCTAGTTCTCAGAGGTTATTCTAAGTGTTTGTGGCTTGGTGATGAAGTCAACATCAAAAACCAATCAGGTACGCACGCACAAAGGCAACAACAATCACCTTCTTGCCTACTGCCTCCAACAATCTAACACACAGGGTGACAACAGTTAGAGAACTATTAAAGGTCATGGAGTAAGGAACAGTTGTTTCATCTTAGTTTTGGACTCTTCATCAGCACACATCCCTGTTCAATGTGAGTTCTACTGAGAACTGACAATAATTGGGGTTCACCAAACTGGGTGTAAGGACAAATAATATTCGCTGATGGTATTAGCTGGAGGTTGCACTAGAGTCGCAGTTTGATAGAAGTTCGAATTCATCGGCCGTTGGATTCCTTCGCAGTGGCGGCGGATTGATCAATGAGTTCGTCTGGTAACCTGGAAGTTTTGCGTTCTATTCCTAGTTGGGGTGATGGGTATGTACTGACTAAGAGTGTCTAACTAGGACGAAACAGTTGTCCAGTTCTCCATGGTTTTCAGTGGTTCTCTAGGTGATACCAATCCATGATCAGAGTTGGAACAAATCAAATCCCAACAAGCTAATTCCTGAAGATATATGTGTATGCTAAAATGATGACTTTGTAGGACATGATTGTTCCAGGTACAAAGTATGTAACAATCAAAATAAGTTCGATGAGTCATTGAAACAAAGGACAATTAATTGGACAGTTGCCTCGGCTCAGCTTGTCAGTTTTTTGAGGTGAAGAACCAGCATCTCATGATGTGGTGAGAGCTGTCTGCAATCCGAAATTGTAGACAACAATTCACGTCAATGTTCACGTCCCGAATCAGGGTCATGAGAAAAACAATAACAAAAGTTAACCTCGACGAACTCACCAACCAATCACAGCAGACTTAGCGTGTGCAAACATGATTCGCGGATATATGGCTTAACTTTCTGAGAAACGGTCGCAATCAGTACAGAATAACCTTCGGCAAGAAAACAATCAATCAGAAGACGTTGCTTCTCCGCTGACGATAATGTACACAACAATCTATAAATATCTGTTAGTTTTCTTAATAAACAATTTGTTGCCTGGCCCTTGTCTTCTGTCGTTACAATGAAACCAGAATGTCATAGTCAGATCAAAGGACTTCACAACAAAGACTCGTAACCTCCAGGTTCTATCGATGTCTCAGGACTTCATTTCATTATTTAGAAACTGTTCTTTTACTCGGTATTATTCACACCTTCGGTCACAATGTTTCATTGGAAGTTTGCAGCCTCTTAAAAGCCTAACTGTTGAACAATAACATTCAGATTAGGCAGATCTCATTACCAAAACAGAAGTACACTAGACGTTGTTGAATTTGAAGTAGAGTATCAACTCTACCAAATTCATCCTAGAGAAATGTGATCCCTGAAGGCATTTGGTTCATATCCTCCTTATATCTCTGTTTAACAGAAATTGGAAACCACAGACCACCATATTCCAAGTGTTGCTTTCCAAAGACTCAACTGTTTATTGAAATCAGATTTTGTCTCGGACTGAAGTCGGTTAGAGAATCACAGAAAACCAGGGAGTATTAGAAAACTGTTTCATTGTAGAACGAAATGCGAATCCTGACTGGATTCTACTGCTAGTCACCATCCACCAGTTAAATTCTAATTAGATGCTCAGACATCGTCGAAGCTTCTGCACAAGAAGTCGACATGTCAACCTGAGACCGGGCACTTCAGTCCAAACAATCGACGGGAAAATCTAAAATTCAATTATATAATTAATATGACCCATTGCACAAGAGGTGACTCTCGTGGCCCAAGTGGTCTAGTGGATGACGCTTTGGCGTTTGAAACTATGGGCACTGGGTTCGAGCCTCAGTGGTGGGAACATCATCACTCACTGGAGAATGCAGGTACATCCAGCTAGATTATGAGTCCCAAATAGGACGAAATGAGCATCCTTACTCAGCGATTCGGAGAGGCGTTTATGAAGGATTTCTGCTTCAATATCACCTTTGAATTCTAGATTAAGCAGAAGTATTTTCTTTGTAACGGTTTGGACTTGTTCGGAAGTCTTGTTAGATTTGAGATTCTTGTCTATGAACCTGGGCGGGAAACCGTTTTCCATCAGGGTTTTTCGGAGATTACTCAGTTCTTCTTCAGTCACTTCCTCGCTGCATATCTTCCGAATCCTCGAAAAATCCTTCAAAGTAATATACAAGATTCAATCAAACCTATCAAGGGGAGTGAAATCAAGACATCTGGGCATAGCTGAGGCGCTAGCTGTCCAAAAGCTCAAACCCACACTTTGTATACAAAAGAAATACGTCCAACCCCTGTCCCTACCATGGCCATCATAAACAGGTAAATTTTTCTAGTAATGACCATTCCATCGCCTTACTTATCTAAACTTTCTGTTTATTCATGTTATTTCAAGTTTTTCTTAATCCCTCTCTACACTACCATATTTTCATATCCACACTTCCTGTTTATTTTGTCATTTTACTATTTCTACATATTTAATCCTTGATTGCATAAACAATTAATCATCACATTAGATTTTTATCCAAACATCCCGTATATTTTGTTATTTCTACATTTCTAACCCCCAAATGCACAATGTCAATCTTCTTAGTTATTGTGCTACTTTGGTTGAGCTTTATCCGTCCCCTGTTTATTATGGCATTCTAATTCCTAATTTTAATTATTATTAATTTGATCCTCAACCGGAAATTATTCTGGAACTTTCCCATCCATTTGATATAAATACACGAATGTACAGCCTAGATGATGACTTCGTCGAAAAGAAAATTTTCTTCGCTGCAACTGTCTTTTTATTCCCTACGATCAAATGTGCATATTTTGTGACATGAATGAAAAGTTCTACACGAGGATGAAAAACCATCTTATTATTATATCCCTTGGTTTCCAATGGTTATCCAACTGATGTTGCTTCAAGATGAGATCTGACGTTTGAATTCTCTCAAGAGTGATTGAATACTAGTGTGTTCACAGTAAGGACAAATATTTTCAGTGTCAGCTTTCCATTACAACACAGTTTACACTTTATTAATAAGCCGCTAAGTTACCTATGTCATAGATTTATCGGAATCATAATTATCTGCATGTTTTATTAACTGTTCAACAGACAAAATATCACAGTTGAAGGAGTAGCGTAAGTTATTAATTTATTTATTTGTATATATTTAAAACATGTTCAAACAATTCTTCATAGTATTTGTTTCAATTCAACCAACTTGTAAACTTTTCTAGATAGAACCTACCTACCTACCTCTACAGCTTATATGATGACGCATGTATTCTAAACGTTATTCTATTAAAGTCCCTGGCTTTTTGCAAGTTATTTGTTGCTGCACGAAATCTTGAGGCAAGGCATACTTCGTGTCTGATTCACATTTTGTCAAGATGGACAAGCTTTTTTTCCTAGGCGTGAAATCATGATTCATGCATGCATTGGCATGGCGACCTGATTGGACAGATTTTGACTCGTTTATTTATTTATCGAAAACAATTAGTCCCTTTGATAAATTTGAATAAGGTATTTAGAAGAGAAATTTCGCGAGGTGGTATCGTCATTTCGTAGTTTCTTTGTGATGAAACTGTTGATTTCATTTGCGATTACATCACAAACAATGGGATAAACTTACCTATTCCTGTCACTTACATCACAGACATTCTCTCAATATGTACAGAATATATCAGATTCACCTTCCAAGAAAAAGCATACAAACAAATCAATGATGTTGCGATGGGGAGCCCTCTTCAGCCCCTGTTAGCAGATATATTCATGTCAAAATTGGAGAAACAAATGCAAGGTATGCTTGGAGTATTCATGCTACATAAACGGTACGTGGATGACACACTTACAATTGGTAGTGATAGTAAGTCTATTGAAAGCTTTATTACTCTATTTAATAATATTCATCCAAATATCCGAGTGACTTCTGAACTCGAATCGAATAACAAACCCGGTTTCCTGGATATCACAAAGACCAGTAGAGATGATGGAACGATTCAGCGATCTATTTTTCATAAACAGATATGGAGTGGACAATATCTTCACTTCACCAGTTTTGTTCCTATCCAGTATAAACGTTCCCTAGTGAAATGTTTGTTTTCAAGGGAAAACCAAGCATGTACGAGCGACACATTGATGGATGGACTTCGACATATACATTCAGTTTTATTAGCTAATGGTTATCCAGGAAACTTTATCAATTGTCACAGTAAGGATAGACCGCATCTGGAAAAGATAGCTTCTGTTGATATTATGTAATCGGAGGCAATTGGCCGCAGGAAGCTTTGGACTTAGGTTTCGTGCCAGTCAGCACGGCGTATCTGCAACCTTGAAAGAACTCATGTCCCTTCTGAGATTCAAACATGGGTCAGAGACGTTACCCCTGAGCTATTCGGGCTAGCGATCGACCTCCTGTAGGACTGTAGTGGGTATTTTGATCGGACACTTGTAACTAGTGTGATGTGTCTAGTCATCTCTTTGGTGCAGACTGAATTCTATCAGTCAGGCTTTGCAATGCGGCCACCATTCTAGGTAGCTCGCCATCACGGTGCACATTGATTTGGTGATATTTTGTCGTCGGAGGCAATCAACAGGAAGCCTCATCTGATCTAAGTTTCGTGCTAGCTGGCACTCATCAGTAAGGCGTATCTGCAACCTTGAAGGGACTCATGTCCCTTCGGTGATTCAAACTCGCGTCACCCAGTGGTGCAGTCAGATACGTTACCTACCATTCAAGGGTGATAAATTATGCAGTTGACAGCTCAAAGACTTTGGTCAGCCATCAAACGCACATTCTACACCGTATCTCTTTCCCTCACATCTCGAACATTTTCGATCCCTGTACCTACAATTAAAGGAAGAAATTCTGTGCACTCTACTTCATTCACACTGTATCTTCAAGTTCACCTGCAGTTGCGGGGACACCTATATAGGTAGAACCAATAGAATGTTCCAATGTCGTCGAAAAGAACATGTTCCAAAATGGTTACTAAAACATATAGAAAATCCCAATGCAATTATTAATCTGAATAGAAATCCATCATCATCATCCATTGCACAGCACTTATTAATTAATGTCAGGTCACAAAATCAATATTCATGACTGCTTCTCAATTATTTCACCACATAACTCTAATTCATGTTTGGTTATTGAAGGTGATAGAATCACTTTGGGGGATTAATCGCGTAACATCCTAAAGGATGAGTGTACAAAAAACAATAAACTTCAACCTTCCTTTGCTTACCATGAATTGACTACTTGATCTATTTCAGTATATGATTCGTCATTAGTATGCACTTTTGTTTTTTATAGCAACTGAGTAATTGTCATGCATTCTATTTTATTCTATTATTGTGAACAATGTTAGTTGTGTAGATCGGTTGTAAAGAAACTACGAAATGACAACATCATCTCGTGAAATATGTCGTTTAATTATGCCTTGAATTCCTGGAGTTTCGTAAATATGACACACCATATATTTTGTCTAACGCTGTTGAATTAGATTCTCTTTTTTGTTTATCTCAGAGTATGTGCGTGTGTGTGTGGTGGAACCATTTCCAAGTAATCACTTGGTTTTATTAGTGTCGTGTTGTGGAGGCGCATTCCAGTCAAGTTAGACAACTCCACAAATCAGTAACACTCCGTCATTTAAGTAGCCTGATTACGACTGCCGAATACTCTTCATGTCAATGAAACTGGGTAACAGGCAGGTATACAAGGACAGAAAACACACCTATGAGCAATTGTCATCACGTCACGACAGGTAGTTTAGGTTGTTGGTATGAAATTCCTCATATACTAGTAGGTGAGATTTGCGAAATTCTTATTGCCTGTGAATAAAGAAATTCAGAAAAAATATTTGCAGGGGAATATGAGATCGTTTATATTCCCTGGATTCTCTTCAGCTGTGGATACCTCCTTAAAAAAAATCAATTCTATGTTACAAAATAGTGTCTGAACATACTTTTTCCACAATGACTTCGAGTCAGAGATAGAAAGTATAAGCAACATAGTTTCAAAAATGATGTGAGTAGACGAATTATTGAGTGTTAAAAGAGAGTGACTGTTTATAGAATAATTTGACAAGCTGGAGGTGGAGGAAGGTCGAGTAGAGTTCAGATTTCGCTTGTAAACAGGGATTGACTAGAGACGAAATACAAGATGGAACAACATAGTGAATTTATACATAGCATGATGGGGAGTTTGGTAAGTTGGGTGGTGAATGGTAAAGTAAAATTATAACACTGTAGTCGGAAGGTCCTGGGACCGAACCTCAATGGGTGCGCACTGCCGATGATTCATAAACTAGGCTGATGAGACATCTGTCCAGTACTCCATTGCTGGTTTTCAGTGGTTCTCTAACTAATATCAATCCGTGATCAACTCGTCAAGACAGAGAAAACAGTGAAGTAGATTTGAAAACTTAATAGTGAGTTAAACTCAGTAAACAAAAATCAAAATTAAATCGAATGCTACTCAACAGAACAAAACACAAATGCACACGAAAAACAAACTCCATCCCCTTGCTTAATTATTCTATAAATAATTACTCTCTCTTTTAACACGGAATAATTAATTCGTTTACTTACATCATTTTTGAAACTATGTTGCCTACACTTTCTGTCGATAACTTGAAGTCATTGTGGAAAAAGTATGTTCAGATAACATTTTATAACTTACGATTGATTGTGTTTAGAATGTACACAGCTGAGGAGAATCCAGGAAATGTAAACGAGCTTGTATTCTCCTGTCTGCAAACAGGTTCTTTATTTCTTTATTCAGACCGAAAGAAAGGAACCGGTTGTATGAAATTTTTATTGACTTTGTTTAAATGAATGCAAAATGGCAGAATAATAAACTTCTGATAAGAGACTTATATTGGTGAATGACAATTGAATGGCAATCGCTGTTAAAGTGATGCATTTCACAAGTGATAAGACTGTTGTCAGTGTTCACAGTCACTAAGGGATCACCATTTCATCTCGTAATTACAAGAATTACAGATTGTATCCCCTCATTTCATTGATATACACACACGCCAAATGGAGCAACACGAGTAGTAAACAAAAAGATTCCGAGATATGTAACAAGCATTGGATTAATATTATTGTTGTTTACTTTAGTTCCTAGAGGAACATCGAGATTCAGCCGAACGGCTCCATGGGGTTCGGTTCTTCACTAGCGTTTCACCTGGCTCCACGTCTGTCCACACGCTTTCATCTCCTCTTCACACCACCTCCTCCACGTCACCCTCTCACTGACGACCAACTAGCCACTTCCCATTCAGCCGGGTTCCACTGGAGCGATGGCTTGGCGTGTGATGTCACTCACTTGATGGTTCGGTTTCTCAGAGTATGACCACCAATCCAACTCCATATCTCCCTGCATATTTGATGCACAATTGTTTCTCGCTGTGTTGGTTGGTTCGCTCATTGTCAGAGATCCCTCCCTGTCGGTGATATTTTCTGGCCAGCCATCTGGTCTTGAGTAGTATTGAGCGAAGACAGCTGTTGAAGAAGGTCTGTAGTTTGAAGTTGTTCTATGTGGCCTTCGTGACGCAGCGCCAAGTCTCTGATCCGTATAGGAAGTAGCACTGACTTCACATTGCAGTTGAAAATCCGGATCTTATGTTTCATGCTGAGTAGTGCTGTTGCTGTCCACACAGACTTGAGAGAAATGAAAGCTTGCCTTGCTTTCTCGATCTTCGCTTTGACAGCCTCAACAATTCCGCCGCCTGTAGTTGAATCGATGCTTCCCAATTAGGTAAAGTAGGTTGTTTCTTTCAGATTTCTCCCATTTACGATGATTGATGTCTGTTGTTTTTGCTGTTGCTACTGCTGTTGGCCAGGAATCTTCATCCTCGCCACTGTTTTCTCTGTGTTCACCTGAAGGTAGTCCTATCTTCTCTGTATGCTTCTTCTATCTCCAACTTGTGCTTTCCGCATGTATATCTTCCAGTTTGTGGGATACTTGTGGAATATCAGAATCATCAAATTAATCGTTTAAAGCCTCCATTGTTTTTGATGCTGAGACCGGTAAAGATAGTCTTGAGTTGATAGACTACATTTCATGTATGGTGTAATGATTGAAGTTGAACTGATCATCCAAGTCGCTGCAGAATTCTGACCAAAGACCTCTTCTAAACTATTAGTCGTGCCATCCATCCACTAGTTAAGCTTTATTGATGACATCTTGCAATTTACACTTCCTATTTCTTTTGTCATCCCATATTCTTTGAACTAAATTTATTGATTTCTTGACTTTTCTGATCACAGTAAAATAATCAGAGTACTCCAGTAAGACTGTAGTGATATTTCATTTTTATATTAAAAAAATTTTTTTTTCAATCTAAAAGTGAAAATAAACGTTTTAAACAAAAAGATAAGTTGCTCTCCTGGCTCAAGTGCTCCAGTAAAGAATGCTTTGAATCCTGGATTCGAGTTTCAGTGAGAATGCCACAACTTTCTTAGGACTGAAGATACATCCAGATGATGTGTCCCGAATAGAACGAAACGCACATCTTAGATTCCCTTGCCAGTTATCATTTATCAAATAGCTCTAAAAATATTATTGATATCTGTGATCTCAATGCAGGCTCCAGTTATTCACTGACTCTTGTCATTAATTCTTCTCTCGACTGACTCACACACAGTATTAAATCTGTTTGTTCATGATACTGATGAGAAGGACTTAAAGGAAACAAAATTAACTGTCTGTAACAGCTGATCAAGTGATTATTGCTTCGTACACTGAACACATACCATTCTGTCATCTTTGTCCTATCTTATGCTAATGTAAGCTACTAGTCATGATATTTATTTCTGTGCAACTAACTCTATACCACCAGCCTTATTAAACTCAGTATGCGTAATTATCCACTCAATGAGTACACCGCTGTGGTGAGAGCTGTCTGCTAGCCAAAATTGGTAGACACCAATTTAAGTCAATGTTTACTGCCCGAACTAACTCAACAACCAATCACAGCAGACTTAGCGTAGGTGGATACGATTCGCAGATATATGGTCTGACCTTGAAAGAAACGGCCACAAAGAGGTGACAGGATAACCGCCTTCAGCAAGAAAACAACCAATCAGAAGACGCTATTTCTCTGCCTTATAATAACGCTAATAATACTGTCCATAAAAATATATAAATATCTCTTGATTTTCTAAACAAACGATCTGTTGCCTGGCCCTTGTCTTCTGTCGTTACACACTAACTGTCTAGTAAGTATTAGTAACAAAACAGAAATCATAAAGACTCAGTTATTTGGAAATCTACTAGTAATAAGTAGTATATTTAAACAGAATAAATTGTTAAGGTTATTTAGGGAAAAGATTTTAGATCTTATCTGCCTAGTATGACTGAACTATGTAGACCGCCAGGATGTGCGTGTTAACAGCACAAGAAAGGCGTGCGAAAAAGCCTCTGAGTCAGGTTTGATGCTTCCTTGTTAAAACTGAACTTTAAAAACACTGAGAAACATCTGCAGGATCTTTAGACGTTAATTCAGTTGATCCATTTCAATTATCAAGTTTTGGTTTGCAGCAGTTAGACTCCTTGCAGGTGGGATGACAATCTGACATCAGTTTAAGAACAACTAGAAAACCATCAGGGAGTACTGGACAGCTGTTTCTTCTTAGTCTGGTACTCTCCAGTAGTACGCATCCACTGGGATTTGAATCCACCACCTTCCGGTTACAAGGCGAGCTCGTAAACCATTCGGCTACTGGGACCTGATTCAATGTCACAGGAATAGCATCTTCCACCAATTTCGCTATTTTAGCATGACCACCAACCAGTGTTGTCGGTGAATATTTGTCATCACTTCCCATCGACAGAGAGAGGACTCCACTGGTCACGACCTGTCACTAGGACTTCAGACAGCTTTGTTCTGTAGCTAGTCACCAGCCAGCATCAGAGTTAGTTTATTGGGATTTGGTGTGTTTCAAGCTGGATGACAAATTGATATCAGTGACGAAAGTTTTGGTAATATCTTGAACAACATTTCTAATAACGGTAACATTGGCTTGCGGTCGCGTTAAATTTCACGAATTGGTGGAAGTTGGAATTCATGTGACGTTATATATCGGGTCCCAGTAGCTGAAGGGTCTAAAAGCTTGCTTTGTAACTGGAAGGTGATGGGTTCGTACTGCCGATTAGTCTCAGACGGGGATGAAACCTCTCTCTACCCAGCACTCCCTAGTGGTTTTCAAAGCTTCTCTTACTGATATCAATCCGTGGTCAAAATTGAAATATGTCTTATAATTCATATAATTTGTTTATTCTGGTGGCATTTTGAAAAATTATTTTTGAAGTGGATTGAGCAGCCTCAGTTTCCGAATATGTATATCTCACCACTGGCTTGATCCCCAATTTGGTTTTATTTATTCAGTGGTTAAAAGGCACTGTCACTCTTTCAGATGATGGAACGATCAGTAGACTAGCTGTCAAATACACTCACTCCTCCTGGATTCCACTGAAAGCCGTCATCAGGCAAATTAAAGCATACTCATACTTTGAGAAAGGATTTGTTTAACAGATCATCCCGCCATACATATATATATTTATTTATTTATAAGACCTCTTTTACAGTAACTTGCTTCATTTGGTCTACGAAACAGACACTGGTTATCAAATTCACCCACTTAGCACAGAACTAGATGGTCAGTAGTAGATGAGGAGTATGATTTAAGCATCTGTCAGCTGAACGCTGTTCACCAGATGTTGGTTGGATAACATTACACAATCGGATTTCTTGTCATGAAACAACAGTTTTGTTAGTCATGTGTTTCGATTACTTGAAGCCAATTAACGGGATCATCGAGCCAGTGAGAGCTATTTACAGTTAAATAAAAATTTTAGATTTTCCCGTCAACTGATTGGACCGAATTGCTCGGTCTCAGGTTGACATGTCGGCTACTTGTAAGGGATGCTTCGACGATGATGTCTGGTCATGTAACTAGAAGTTAATTGGTGGATGGTGACTATCAGTCCAGCAGGAATCCACCAGGATGCGCATTTTGAAACTATGGGCACTGGGTTAGGAGCCTCGGTGGGAACACCATCAGTCAGTGAGTCTGGAATTCAGGTACATCCAGCTGGGGCTTGAATCCCAAGTCGGACGAAATGCACACCTTGCCTGGATTTCACTGTTAGTCACCATCCACCAATTAACAACTAGCTATAAATTGAATTCACAATCTGTAATGTACAAATTTCAAGGGTTGAAATTATACAATTACTTATGCTTTCCACGCCGCCCCTCTCTTTTTATTCTTTAACATTTTAAGAAGCAATAAAACAACCAGATATGCATTGGCTAAAAAGTGAGTAAAAATAATAATTTCTTTTTTGGTATATCCGATACTACTTACAATCTGGAAATAAGCATCCAGGAAGTTGGTGCTATTCTCTAGCCTCACGAACTACTATCTTTTTTCTTTACTCGCCTTACTACCAGCTAAGAGAGGTTTAGGAATGTATCAACCGGGATTTGAACCCCTGACGACTAGGGGTTTGGCGATGAACCCCCGATGCATGTAACCAGAAAGTGTTGTTATAAAATATAAGATAAAATAACTTCAAAACATTGGTTAGCGAACAAAGAATATTCCTTTTTCGATGACTTTCTCTTCAGATTCTACAGTTACGTAATACTATTAGTTAAGGAACGATTATCATTATTATTATTGACAGCATTAATGCAGCTTTTCAGATAACATTGAGTCATGAGAATGAAGGATCCAAGAGATATATGTGAACAGATTGTTACTACATTAAAGTTTTTCTTATTTGTGAACAACTGCCAGTCTGGCTAAATAAGGGCGCATGCAACAAAGCCTATCAACAGTTCGATATTTAACACAACTGGATCTACACAGATCAAAAAGACAGTATTAACGAATCTTCTCCTATCGTCTATCGTGTATACAATAAACCGCTAACAGCCACCAGATACTGAATACTCCAGACATCAGAAGTTACAGCAATCTGGTTAAAACAATCTGAGCTTTGTTGTGTACAAGCGGAACTAGTTTAGCCATTATTATTATTGTTATACTGACTTGCTGTGGAATCAGTAAATTCATCAATACTGTGGCTAAAATGGTTTACAAGCTCACCTTGTAGCCATAAGGTCCTGAGTTCGAACCCTGATGATTGCGTGTTGCTGAAGAGTCCCAAACTGTGACGAGACCATTACTCCTTAGTATTGTGCATCGTTGGTTCAGTGGTGGACTGCTCTCTAATCACCCACGTGTGAATTTCTCAGACAGGTTTGCTCACTTTTATAGAAGATTTGGAATTGGACATCAGTGGAACTGTACAATCCAATCACTTTCGACTGAATGTATGAACATCAAACTAGTGATTTGCTTTTATATTTTCTTCTCAATAACAATTCTGAACGATGCTAAACACTGAATTACGAAAATACTGCCTTACTACGAGGCTGTGTAACTCTTTTCGCAAAAAGCCAGGCCACTTGTAGCCACACACACACACCAACATGAAACGAAACGGAACATCACTCTTTCCATACACCAAAATGTTACCTACTGAAATTTTGATGGAATACTCTTGGTACAGAATAACCTCAACACCTTGTGTCTATGGGGAAGGTCTACTGAGATAGATTTGCTTATTCAAAGTGTAGTTAGGCTTTCGTTAAACCCGTATAAATATCGTTTTATATAAATACATGTATTCATATCGAAGGCTATTCTGTTCATTTTAAACTGTGTCATCTGGGTAGATCCTTCCTCATTCCCAACTACCAGTGAATGCATTAGAGTCCACGTTTTCCTCGTTATACCTGCATGATGACTTTCAGTAGATTGTTCTATCTAGACAGCAAGGGAATCACTTTTATGCCAAAGTAATTTTTATCTTTTTCGGGTGAATTTTCGAATTGAATTTTACCACTTGTTGTTACTGTTTATTACGCAATCGTTTCTACTCTGATCCACTTGAGTAGTGAGACAAAATTCACAGAATTTTCCCATAAGAGATTAGGAAACATTATCTTTAAAAAGGGGTGAATATAGGCTTTTGAAGGAGAATTTTCCTTCAGTGGAATATCAAACTTTTGTTTTAATCATAGAATTAATCTTTCTTCAATGACAAGAATTTTCTTAAGTTAATACTGATAAAATGTTAAACCACAACAGCTTGTTACTACTACTATTATTATTATTGTTGATTCTCTGCCTTCCAAATGGAGCGTAGATCTTGAGCAGAACAACGCCATTGCACTCAGCTCTCTGCAGCCAGTTTTTTATCGGTCTCATGACTGCCATCCAGGTTTTATTTCTCCCTCAGATAGTCTTCCCTGCATCATCGTCGATTGTGCAACTCGTCACTTCTCATTCGAGTCCCATTCAAGGAAGTGGCTTTTGGTGTCACTTAAATGTCTCCTCAGTGAGGTTGTCCTGTTGAACTCTAATTCCTTGTGTATATTTGTTGAGCAATAGGTCTTTGGCTGATACACTGCTAGAGAGTCCTTTGTTGTGCAACTTTTCTGGCCGTCTACCCTTCATCATTGATTCAGACGTAATAAAAATGCCGGTTAACAACAAAGTTCATTTAAGAAAGAAAATTTAATGTCCTTCAAAACAGCTTTAAGGAAATGTTCTAAAAGCAAAGAAGAACATTAGATGATTTAAGGTAATCGGTAGGAAGCCTCAAATGACCTAAGTTTCGGGCTAGTCGGCAAAGCGTATCTGCAACTGCCTTGAAGGAATTCATGTCTCCCTTCTGAGACTCAATCCCACGTCACCCAATGCAGCCTGCTCTCAGAGACGTAACCGCCGAGCTCTTGACGCTCGCGATTGACCTCTTGTAGGACTGCGTTGCATACTTTGTTTGGACACTAGACAGTAACCAGCGCAATGTGTCCAGTTCTATCTATGTTGCAGACTGAATTCTATCAGTCAAGTTTGCAATGTGGCCACCATGCCAATAGGTGGCTGGCCAGCACGGTGTACTTTGAATTGTTGATATTAGATGGCTGGAGGCATTCGGCAGTGCACCATGATAGTGAGCCACCTAATATGGTAGAACTAGACACACACATTACACAAGTGCCTGACTAGTGACCAATCAAAAAAGAACATTTTTAGTGTGATATGCTATAAACTACTGACTAATTAAATGAGTAGTTTGATATCATTCACATCAAACATGTGTGTTTCCTAGCCAGATGGAAGTGAGTGAAACACCACACAGCCGTTTCGCTTCTTTGAGGCTGAGGTCACCACCAGAGGTGTCAAGTAGGTAGACTCTAGAAGACATTAATTGAGAGACTTGTATGATTACTATTCGTTTACAGATGAGGTTTTCTCACCTTCACTTGTATTTCTTTCAAATTGTAACACCGGAAATACTTTGCAGTACTTTAATGTTTATGTACATAACATAACAGTAATATTGACAGTTTTCGTTAAATTTTGGTCTTATTACTTGTTCCAGGCTAACTGAAGCTATCCTGAACAAGATGTTCAGTTAAAAGTACTGTATTAAATTATATAGCTGATGGTAATTTTCGTTGGACTACGCTTACTATATATACATTTGAATAGTGTGCTTAGTAAACATGTACTCTTCATTAAATTGAGTAATGTTAGTTTTATTTAAAGCGAAATAAATGCATTCTATAAAAAAAGTCGACTGTTATAACGTCGTTGTTATTGATTAAGTCTTGACATTTACAATCTTCGTTTTAGTTGGTAAATGTTTCAATCATCTCAATAATATTCTCAAGTTTTTTCACTTAATGTACGTTTCCTCATCAGTCAGCTTTAGTTAGAATCACTAGGGAGCTTCGTCCGAATTTGGGACTCTTCAGAAACGTGCACTCACGATACTACTACTACCTTGAATAGAATCCATGACGCTCATGTTACAATGTGGCTCGTTGACTATCCATTCACTGATTTCGATTCCACTGACCTATGAATTTCAGATTGTATCAGTCCGGCACGAAATCTACAATAAGAAACCAATGGAAATCGCTGTTTCAATTCCGGGCTCATTAGTGACTTGAGCATGCATTTCATAACTTTTGGAGTCCACTACGTGTAAGAATAGATACTTAATGATGTCCTCAGATGTTGATGGCAGGCACCTTTTTGGAAATCAGCAGAATTAAGAATTCACAGGTCATTAGATCCCACCATAATATCTGAGGAATTGGCAGTCTCATCTAGTAACCTGAAGGTCCCTGAAGTTCGTCGATTCCCTTTTAGTTTTAGAAGGTCTTGAAATAAGATAAAACAAATGCTCAGTATTTAGTGGTTCGTAAGGATTCTCCTTGTGAAGTCGCTTTCTACACTGAAATGTTATTTTCTCCAGGAATCTGAAGACATTTCTCGTCAGTAAATGACATTATGTTAAGGACAGTTGTGTGACTCAATCACAGGTGAATCTTCTCCCGAGATATGAACAAACTAATGTGTACAGAAAGTATCACGCTGATTAGTATTTAGCCCTAATCATCACCAAATGACCGTTAAGCGATATCACGCACCACGACTGAATTGGAAGCGGCGAGTTAAGCATCTGGGGATGACATAGTGGAAACCATGTGAGGAAGAAATGAAGGCTGGTTGGCAGTCATTGAGTAAGCTTAGAAAGACTGAAGAGAGCAGAGTGGAATGTGAATGTACTGCTGAAGCCTTATGTTCTACTTGTAATCTAAGAGAACAATAATATTGCATTAATGTATTTGTAAATCAATCGGTTACACTTTCCACGAAGTGGTTCGTTCACATTACTCTTTGAAGGAATGCATTTTTCCTATGGATAGATTCAGATGGATAATTTTGGTTTTTTCTATTTCATTGCTAACCAGCTTAAAAATCAGACAATTAGCATGATCAATGCTTCTTAAGAAATATTGATTGCCTTGATAAATTTCGATAAAGAATGAAAGACCAGATTTGCAGTATAAAATGATATCATTCTTTTTCACAGGTTCTCATCAGCTGTCATTGACTACCTGAAATTACAATGGTTATATAAACGATAATAACATACTTTAATGTTTGAGTGTTAGTAGAGAAGAGACAAAATTGACGCATCCAAAAATGCGTCTGAAAGGAGCAATAAATAGAAGCTTCCCGGCAGCAAAACTCATAACAGTATGCAGCACCACTCCTTCTATAATCCACTCAAAACTGGATAAATACCCTGATGATGTCAACTCCAACTGCGTTTATGAATTTACGTGCACTTGCGGGAGCAAGTACATTGGAAGGACAAAAACAAGGGCTTCTATCCGGTTTTCTGAACATATTCCAAGAAACCTATGCTTGAAAGGAAGCAAATATTCTCAGATTGGAATTACCAGACATATTGTTGATACCGGAGATCTCGTAGCAACTTTTAAGTCCTTCAAAATATTAAATAGACAAAGGACAGCAAATTTACTACGATTTGCCGAAACGATCGCAATCAAATGACTTAAATCAGACTTATGCATGCAGAAAGAGAGTGCGATTAATCTCTCACTCCCTTGGTAACTAAATGTAGATTTTGATTAGTCATCTAATTCAGTGATCTCAACTCACTGAACAAATCTTAATCTCATAAACTGTAACCGCTTCTTTTTGTGTTTTTTGGAGTTGCTGTGTGAACCTACAAGCTAACACTGTTTCTGTTCATCAATTTTTCTGTTTTTCTGTCTTACCCCTCCCCCCTCTTTTCAACTCTGAAAGTGTATAAATTGATGATGAAAACTTAAACTAAAAATTGTAATGCTTTCATTATGGATGCGTCAATTTTATCTCTTCTCTACTAACATTCAAACATTAAAGTATGCCATTATCATTTATATAACTATTGTAATTTCAGGTAGTCTGCAGCTGATGCGAACCTGTGAAATAGAATGATATCATTTTATACTGCAAATTTCGTCTTCCATTCTGTATCGAAATATTGATTGATTGATTGATTGATGAAAATAGGCATTCTATGAATAAGGGCGAGAAACATGTTAAACATTCATACACCCAGTCCACTTGATCAGTCTGAAGGAAGCAAGACGGGTGAGAGAACCAACTAATCGTTTTACTTAGTGGCTGAAGAACAGCCACTAACGTTAAAAACGAAGAAGGTTAGATGATATTAGATGGTTGGAGGCAATCTTTAGTGCACCGTAATGGTGAGCCACCTAGTGATATGGTGACCAGATTGCAAAGTTGACTGATAGAATTCAGTCCATACCAAAGATAGAACTAGATACATCATACTAGTTGCCAGTGTTCAGTCAGCCATATCCGATACAGTCCTAAATGAAGTCATTCGCGAACCCAAATAACTCAGTTTAGCGTCTCATCTGACTGCAGTCGTCACTGGGTGACGCGACTTCGAATCTCAGAAGGGGGACATGGGTTTCTTCAAGGTAGTTGCAGATACGACTTGTCGACTGTTGAGTGCCAACTGGCACGAAACCTAGGTCAAGCAAAGATTCCTGCCGATTGCCTCCAACCATCTAATATCATCAAATCAATGTGCACCGTGATGGCGAGCTACTTGGAATGGTGACCACATTGCAAACCTAACTGATAAAATTCGCGGTGCACCAAAGAAAGGACTAGACACATCATACTAGTTAGTAGCGTCCAATCAATGCCAAAGGTCATTACACATATAAGTACATATCACGTTTCAAATTATTTCAACTCAGAAGGCGCTCAATAATTTCTACTATAGTATGAGAACAACGGACTGAATACGAGATAGTTAATAATCTAACAAGAGTATTTTTTTCTATTCCACTGGGATATGAGTGGAACGTAGGTTTTTGAGTTTGAGCTGCGAATTTCCAGCAACAAATAGGAAAGGGTCATTAGTCTATCACTGATTCCAGAAGACTAATCAGTGCCTTAGAATACTATGTGTGGTAACCAACCTGATTAGAAATCAGAAAACCGATTGGCAGTGTACGAGGATTGTTTATTTCTTCACTGACAATGAACCAGAATAACAGGGTTACAAAGCACAAAGTCTAAAAATAAACGTTAACATAAATCACAGTGATACTTCTGATCGTTTTTCTTCAGTCTTCCAACAATCAGTGTACGTTTAGGCAACGGCTGCCATTGCTATTTCCCGCCAAATGGAGATCAGTTTGAATAAACAAACCAGATGTTACTCATTCAATGTTCACTAACATTGACAGTGCTTATTTAAACAAATTGGGGTTGCTAGCATTATGTCCAGCCTTCGTTTCTGTATACTGGCTTACTACCGACCAGGTGAGGCTTAGGAGTGCGTCGGTAGAGAATGAAGCCCCCACCATGTAAGTGGTTGACGAGGATTCTCCCACCAATGCACAACACAGTTTACTTTTACATTATATGATGGAGAATTCGAGAGAACAGAGTGCGAGTGAAAAGGAGCAGGAAGTTAAGGCAAAAATATTTAAGCAAACAAACAATCAAGTAAACTGGAGGATTAATGGCGACTTTAGCTCATCGTGGGAAAATGAGAATTGGGTGAAGATTGTGACAAGAAAGAAAGCAGAAAAATAAAAGATCTACTTCCCGAGGTCGGGAGAAGTTAGTCACATAAACGTTCCATATAAATGAGTTAGGTTTGGATTGGACACTAGTCAGTAACTAGTGTGACGTGTCTAGTCCTTTCTTTGGTGCAGACTGAATTCTATCAGACAGGTTTTTTCCTGCCGATTGCCTCCAACTATCTAATATCATCAAATGAGTTAGGTTGTTAACGACGGATAGTTTTGGCTTCTGCAAAACAAAGTAACCAAGGTTTTGCTCATATTTATGTTGTTCGTAGACTGTTAGCAGCTGAAGAATAAGTGTAAATTGAAAAATGACCTCTTCTTGTCCTGCACATGCATTCGTTCAAGCTTTTTACAAAACATAAGTTTTACAGGATATTGTCATGGGCTAATATCAGTTAGAGAACCACTGGAAAAGCACCAGAGAGTACTGGACATCTATTTCATCCTAGATTGGGACTCTTTGTCAATATGCACCTATACCCGGGAGTTCGAACCCAGAAAATTCCGGTCATAAGGTGGGCTCGTAGACAACTAAGTCACTGAGACCCAATAAAATGGGCGAAAATTCCTGGACTCGAAATCTGCCGATGGGTGTGTACTGATAAAGAGCCCCATACTAGGACGAAACAGCTATCCAGTAGTCCCAGGTGTTCCAACAGTCCTATAATGTCAGCTCATGATGGAATCTTGTAACCAATCAAATCTATGCTAACCAACACTTGGAAATAGATTTTAGTATGATGGTGTAACGACAGAAGACAAGGGCCAGGCAACAGATGGTTTATTAATGAAATCAACACACAGATTTTAATGTGCGTTATTGTAGATTATTGTTAGTATAAAATACAGTCTTTTGATTGGCTGTTTCTCACAGAAAGTTAACCTTGCATCTCTTTGTAGCTGTATCAGATCATCCATATGCTAACTGTATCCGCCTAAGCAAAGCCTTTGTTCTCATTTTCTCACCACCAATATTAAGGACATTAACATTGACGTCAATTGCTGTCTACCAACTTTGGCTAGCAGCCAGGTGTCACCATAATGGTAGCATCTCATGAATGTCAGGTACTCAGTCAAATTTTATTCGTAAACACTCTCTATATATATGATAAAGAAGATTTGTAGC